AAAAAAAAAAAAATAAGTAAAAAAATTTAAGATACAACAGAAACTGGTATTATAATTTGAAACAAACATTTAACATTTGTTGCCTCCTGATTTTTTCAAGTAATCATTCGTCACCTTCAAAAATACATATTGTAAGACATTGTGAACTGGAGACAATGCATTAATAAATATCAAGAACCAACTAGTATAAATAGAGGTTGAAAAGTATAAAAAAATATTACTCTGACTAATTTTAATTGCTGCTTATTACCATAGTACTGACTACAAGAAATATGCATATATGTATCCGTTATTCTTCACTAAAGTTGAGGCAAACTACCACAGTATCAGTTTTAACCTTTTTAACCATCAGTAGTAAATCAGTTACACATCCAGCAGTAACCGTAGGTTAAAAAAAAGAAGTATTTAAAGAGAATTAAAAATAAATAAATAAATAAATGAAGTTGACTGAAGAAGCACCTGCTAGCAACAGTAATAAATACAGGAAAAAAGCGCAAAAACAAAAAATTCCTTGAAATAATTGAAACTAATAAACAGAAAGAAGAAAGTATGAAGCATTATAGCAACTAAATAAAAGCACAAATCAACGTTTTAAAACCCTAATAAATAAAGAAGAAATATAATTACAAAATAAATTTAAAGAACAAAATCCAGTCAACAATTCACAAAGGCTCAGTCGATTAACCACAACCAAGATGCATTTAGAAAAGTTAAAAAGAAAAAAAAAAAAGGAGAATCTTCCAGTTCATTAGTGGTGTTTTTGCTCAAAACAACAGCCTAAACAGTCGTTAAATTTTTTTTGTAAAACAAAAAAATTAGCAAAATCCCCCAAATAGAGCCCTCTGTTTAGCATCTAATCACGCAACGTATTAAGTTGTCAATATCGTCTCATTGTAATGAAAACTGTAAGAAAAGACTTCTGCAAGATTTGTTCAACTTAGTTAAGTACAAATGTAAAGAAATTTATGTTTTTTTTGCTGTAATAAATGTCTAATAAAAGGTAAATGTTAGTAAAAACCAAAAAATAAAATAGGTATCTAACCGCTGCGAACGGTATAGTAACCAATAAAAAAGAATAGTTAGTAAACTGTTGCTATAGCAGCTGTTGTAGATAAGACTAAGTGACTTTGTTAAAAGCCTAATTAAAGAACTGCAAGTAATAGATAGAACATAAGTCATAAACAAGGAGATGCATAGGTAGTTTACTGTAGCTGATCATCAAGATTCGCAGCCTGAGGGTCATTACCGGTCCGCAATAAACACTTTCCTTTCAGCTATTAGATGTTACAATTTCAGTGTAACAGTGAAAACCACTCAACCCGCTGTTTCTAAATTTTCTCCTTTCCTTCTTGAAAAATAAACCGGATAGTATTAAGACAGTTGAAATCGAAAAAGAAAAGAATTAAATAAAGGTTGTGCTTAATGTAATAGATAAAACACACACAAAAAAAAAAATCGACCTGCTCTTATCATTAAAAGATTTATCAAGTTAATTTCATCAAGAGCAACTAATAAACAGGAAAAATAAAAATAAAAGCAGTTGTCTCTTTCACACCCAAATCAATAAAATTTCTGAATCAAGTTTGGAAAGAATTACAAGGGAAGCAACAATTTTATTGTACGCAATTACAATGTTTTTCCCCCTCTTTCATCTTATTTCAAGACAGCTGATCTAAACCAAAACCAAACCGGTCTGAATGCTGCAAGAAAAGATGTCTACAAAACAATATTTAGCTCAAAACTCAAATAAGTCGATCCACAGTGAAAACGTATCATTGATAAGTGCATAAAACGGAAGAGATTGGTCAACACAAGTAAACTATCTTTATCCTTCGACAATCACAAGGATATAAGTTAGCTAGAAGGTATTAATTATAATTTAATTTTAAAAAATAATCTTATTGATAAAAAAATTATTTTTTTTTATTTTTTTAACAATTCCAGGTTTTACTTGATTACAAATTTTATTATCAACAATGAATAATATTTATAGGAGAAATTGGTAGATTTTTTCATTCATTCAAAACTTCTATTTCCTTACTGGTAAAAAAAATCAGCCATTTTTCCGCTTTTACTACCGCTCTTCCAAAGATTTTTTGATTTTATACAAATAAAGAGCAGATTAATCAGCTGGTTAAGTGGACAATTTATGGTAACGAACGCAAGTGTTCGTTAGATGCTGACCAAAACCAGTGTCTTTAAATTTGAGTAACAAGTGAAAGAAATTGGGACGCATAGTCAGTTACAGCTAAAGTAGGCATACCTTTTTGTAGCTTAATTTAAAAAAGAAAAAAACCAGCAACTATCAACATTATTTTGCTTTTTTAAATAGACCATTTTTTTACAGGATCAAATTCTGCTAATAACAGAATATTAATAAAATAAGTGTCAAAAAAAAAAAATTGAAAGCGGTTTTAGTGGTTAAAACAATAACAAAATTCCAATTCTATCCCTAATTTTGGCCAAAAATTCTAAGAAATAAGTTTAAAAATTAACATTACTTTCTCTATTGTTCAAAAATTATAAAAAATGACTTGACAGATTATTTATTTTTTAACAGATTTTTCTTTACAGTGGTAAAACTTATCCTTTTAATTGTTTTATCAACTTTTGTCATTGATCTGAAAAGTCGCAAAATTTTAAACATTTCATCTCTATATTAAAATTAGTAGAAATTCCAGTAAACACTATAAACTTGTTACACGAACTAAACCAGAAGTTTTTTCAGCCTTAAGTTTGCAGGTCGCTTTCTTCTTTCAATAGTCTTGAATAAAATGAAGTAATCTGTCTCTTGTAGACAGTAGGTCACTAATATGAACAACATTAGCTGCGTCTGCAAAAATCAATAAAGCCACTAAATTGAAGAGAAATTAAGGTCCTCATTGAGAAAAATAAAAGTTTAGATAAGTGATAATTAAAAAAACTAAGAATTTTCAACCGCAAAATAATAACTTAGAATTTTAGTTATTTTTTTCAATGCAATAATGATTCATTATCTTATCAATTTCTTTCAAACAAATTCGAATGAAAACGGA